GAATGTTTTTTCAATCATACATAACTTGTAATATACGAGGCGATTAAAATGCGATTAGCTGAATTTTGCTTTACATGTTCTCTCTGAAGTCAAAAGCATTAAATTGAAATCTCTAGTCTAAATTAGCTGTGCTGATATCGAAATTGGGTGGAAACCAAATCTACTAGTTGGTTGGTTGTTCCGCGTAAAAACTCGAGATTGAAGTAATGCGAATGTTTAAATCTGTTACCCAAAAATAACTTTAACGTTACAACTAGCAGAATTATTGCTTCTCTTGACTTGTTCTTATATAATAATTTAAAAAATAAACATTTATTTATTACATATATTCGTAATAAATTAACCGTACGAGCACATACATACAAATCTTTGATTGAAGCGCATTATTCATATGTGGTATGTTGCTGTAATTCGCTCTAGTTTAATTAGAAAAAATTGACTACATTTTTGTTCACGTATCAAGCGTAAGTAATGAGTATAACGTTTATCTGATAACTGATCGGGTGGTGGGATATGAAAATTATCAGCTGAAATTTTCAAAATATTGATATAACACATTTATGAAGTAACTTCCAAAATCTGACTTTTTGTCACATTTCAAAGTTTTATTTCCGCAACAATAGATTTTATTTACGAGTTTTTCCGAGTTTCGTATACCTTTTGAATAAAGATCTGTTATTTACACAATTTTATAAGGATTAGTAGTTTGCTTGAAAAGGAACAAGAAGATATTTTGATCACTGACTACGGAGACAAAGTTGGCATACCAACCGTGCATTTCCTTTATTTAACAACAAATATCTCAACAACGATCACGAAGTAAGTTCAGTCAACGCCTGATAGTTAAGTATGTACCTAATTGTGTTTTCGGGTATCCTAAATTTGAACATAAACTTCAAATATTGTCAGAAAAATAGGAATCAGGCAGCTTCTCTGAAGTCTTCAAAATATGTGAAGTGGTGGAACTAAGATACTAATTCAAAAGAGATAAAACAATTTAGTATTTTCAAGACAATCACTCAAATAGCTTAGCAGATGCAGCGCAAGATTTAAATCTTCAAACAAGAGTAGTAGCAAGGCTGGTGATTTTTGCACTATTAGACCGTAGCCCATCCGAATGTGGCCCTGAGGTTTCGCTAGCAGACAGGCTAGCATCTTCAGAGGAATAAGTACTTGCTTCAAACAATGTGAGGCACAATGAAAATCCACGTTTAACATCTAATTTTAAAAAGGGTCTTATTTTCTGGTTTATAACACAATTATATGGCTCCTCTGCCACACGTAGGTCAGGTTTTTAATTGAAAAAAAACTTAGAAAGGGTTTGTCCGTCTATTTTCTTAACAAACGTAGTTTATAAATGCGGTTGCAGCTGCACAAATCAACAATAATCGTCCCTAATTTTTGTTGGCCACTTATTTGGATATATTGGTTATTGCACGACTTATTCAAGATTTTATAATTGAATTTATGCATATTAAAAAACACTATTTCAGAATAGCCAAAAAGCTACAGGTTCAGATTGCTGTTTTTTTGATTAATCTGAATTGGAACTTTTCAAATGCTACGCACATGAAAAGTTCTTCATCGGTTTTAAATAAGTGGTTTAAAACAATTGTGCTTTGAATTGGTACGGCTCTATACGAGGACAAATGCTGTCCTTTCAGAAAAATACGAGATATTTTGAAATAATTATTGTATTAAACTCGTACACGAGGAACATTTTTACAGCATTCTGCAGAACTCGGATACTTTAATCCGGTTTACAAGTTTCAACTTCGCTCGTAAACGCTCCAATAATATCTAAAAAATGTGATTATTTAAAAACCTCAACGTATGAAAAGCACTATTAATACACCCAAACAACATGTCATAGACAATAACCTTCCGACCACTTCGGAAAATATTGAGCAAACAAAAGTTACTACTTCAAAAGCGTTCACATTCATGCTTGAACCCACCCCAGTTTTCGTCAAAATAAAATCGCTTAAAATTGCCAACTTTTTTTCAAAAATGGACAACTCAGGCAAGAGCTCATACAATTTTTTTAAAAGCTAGATGTATGAAAATTGTTGTACATTTACAATTACAATTAAATAAAAAAAATACATTTTTTTACAACTGACTGAGGCAAAACACCACAAAGAAAATATAAAGGCAAAATACTTGTTGCGAAAATGTGTTTCGTGGATAATTCCATTGAATAATAAAAAAGTACTTTACACGTACTGTAAATAACCAGATACAAAATCTAGACAATTATTTAGGATGTTCAAGTACTTAACTATCATAAGTTTATACATTCAACATTAGAACCAATTGAAAAATTATTACTTGCCAATTCACTAACTATTTAAATTACTGTCTTTCGGGGGAGTTGAAGTTCGGACTGTGTTGTTGTTGTTGAAAATGATCTAGAGCTATGAGAAGAAAAGTTTAAAGAGAGGATATTAAAATGTTGCGACAAGGTCCAATGCCGATCTATGTTTTTTTATTTTTATTTTTTTATCTAGTTTTTTATTACCTAATTTTATGTCCTGCTTTTAATTCAAAATTAATTACACCTATTAATTGATTATATGAAGCTTTTTGTTCCATTCGTACTAGCATCTTCCAACAAGAAGGATATTTTGGCGGCATTTCCATAAATTAGAAATATATCGGGGCATTTTTAGTTGGAAAACGGCGAATCTTAGACATAATAGACATTACCAAAAATATGAACGTTTGATTGTAAATTCTAGCAAAAAAAACGTAAAACATTTAATTTTATAATCATAATAACCGCAGATTTTACATGGAAAATACAACGACGAGATGGCGTTTCAAAGTATACAATTAAGCTTAAAATCTTAAATTAATTGTTGTCTAAAATTGTTTTGTGAATTTACCGCATTTTTAATTCCTTGAAAAACTCGCATCTGTTTAATCGTCCAATTGATGAGCCTGATGTTCCATAATTATATTTGGGTGTGTTTCACTTCTAATTTGGGTCTTCCTGAAGAAATACTCACAACAGCTCCAAGAATTGAACATTGAACGAAGCGAAATTTGCAAACATACTTTATTAGCATTTATTATCGACTAATTTGTTGTTAAAACATTGAAAGTCAAAAATGATAAACCCATATTAGACGCCTACTACGTTCAAGTAAGTAACTGTTCATGATAAATATGTGTAATCGACAGAAAAATATATTTTTCCTCAAATACTATTAAGGACACGCAAAAATGATAAGTGCTCAAATAAACTATAGTTTTGTTCATAAAGAAATGTGCTATCCTGGAAATACGTTCCCGGAGAATTAAGAACGGGGTTGTTAATTTATTTCACTCCAAAACGTCTGGACAAGAAACGAGTACTAGAAAATATCGTTCAGCTAGTTAGTAACATGTAGTAAAATTCAAATCTATATGGTTAATAGTTTTAGGGAAAAAATTTTGGAAACATCTAATAGCGAGTATTTCGACAGGAAAAAGATTCCCCCAAAAAATTAAATTAAAAGTAATTTAAATTACTTTGTATACACACCCTTAAAATGTTTGTACATCATTATGAAAGACCCTGATGAAGAAATAGGATATAAATGATTATTTATTTAGTTGCAATAAGTTACCTTGAGTATAGTCTTAGAAGTATCAATAGGTCCGTACCTATTATCACTCGTCAGAATGAACTACCAAACTTAACATTACCACAAGATATTTTAACTAAAGAAGAATTTGCGTGTTTGATATAAGCTTGGACACTATCTTTGAGTTGAATGTTTGAGAAAGTTTAATTTCTCGTTTGTCTACAACAAACTGTTTTTCTGTTAGTTACACACTACGGAATAAACGTAAGCACTATTTTCGTAACCACAATGTATTGGTAAAAAATTACAGCAGCGAATAAAACGATAGCTACAAGTACCATACTTAATATTATATAAAGTGTGCTATTAAACGAAAACAAAGATTGCAATCTTTTGATGATTTCAAGTTAAATATAGTGAAATTTAGCGTTTATTTTCAAAATTTAAAAGCTGCCTTTTATTCTTGAATTAATAAAGGAAAACAAGTGGTGAAGTTTTGACGGATCCAGTATTCCAAACTGAGCATTTGACATAAGCATGTTTTTTATTCAGATTTGGACAAGCAAGAATCATACATATGAAGTTATATCATAACATATGAAGTTATATCATAACATATGAAGTTGAGATTTTATGCAATTATTGTGTAGATTGTGGCTCAACACAATCTCAACACAAGCTCATACACGTGTTATGGGTGTTAGTGTAGTCATTTAAGTAGATGTTCAATAGAGCATACCTACTTAAACGTGGAAAAATCTAAATTAACTAAATATTCGAAAAATCGTGTTTCATTTTCAATGTGATGTGTTGTGCCCTGATTTGAGAAATTATTTAAATTAAGGATTCAGGATGTTTTATTAAATAAATTGGTTATTATCGGCAGCGCCCGAACTCCCCATTTAAATAAAAACAGGAAACGCGTGCTTATCTGAATATCCGAAATTGATAAATGTCTTGGTCTTTAAATAAATAAATAAATAGGTTAACTTGCCTAGCCGGTAGCAGCATAACATTAAATGCTGCTAACTTATGAATCGTTAAGGAAGCATTGAAAAACTTGAACAAGGCCATCCGATAAAAGATAATTTCATTTTCTTTTGCAAAATCCTTTTTTTAATGTGGCGTTTTGGTTTGGTCATATAGAGTTACAAAACATGGATTTTTTAAGTACCATATCAAAAATTTGAAAAACACACCACTTTTTTTAAACATACTGATTAAGCTCCTGTACTGATTAATTTTCAAATTATTTTGGACCGCGGGTGAAATAAATACGTAGGTATTTATAATTTCTGAAAGGACACTTTGGAAAGTGCCAAAAACTTCCGGTAGTACTAATATGAATAAATGTTAAAATGGTCTAAGGCATCCATAGTTAATTTTGGCGCCAAAATCCGAAAATATCTGTAAGTAACTGATACTTACTGCCAGTGTCACCTTCTTCGCATAACTCGATGCAAAGAATCCAAAATTTGAAAAAAAGTCAAAAATGATGAATCACCTGACACTACCACCCCGATTTCGAAACAGTTACGTAATTTCGAAATTCTACCAAAAAGAGCGGGCTTTCCGAAAGTAAGGTTAGGTTACTCGGGCGAAAAAAACTCGCGCCGGTGTCAGACAGTAATGAACTAAATAGCTTGAGCTCGTCGGACCGCCTAGTTTCGAACTGAGAGCAGTACAGACACACACACGTTTGTGCGGCACACATAATGTGCTGTGTTGTTTACTGTTTACTTGTCTGCCGCTTGCCTCGCCCGTATGAGAGATGTTGTTTACACAGTTATATTTAGAGTTAGAGAAATGCAAAAGCAAACCAACTACACCTGCCTCGACGGCTGGATATCATCCCGCAGGGGCGTATTTATCTATAATCCTTAACGGTCGCTTTAACCCCTCAATTCAAAAAGCAGGGTAGGACTTCACAAATTTAACACTTTTTCTCCTACCACCAATTTGAAGCAATTTTGTTGTTTCAATTGGAGCAATTCAGTAAACTTTTTAATGGAAAAATAGGACCTTGCGTCGATTTAAAGCTGGCTAAAGCTAATGTAGAATTACCAAGAGTACCCGATTATATCAAATCTCACCATGCAAATATCTATCAAGAATCAAATGCAATGGCTGTGTTATGTTAGCACTCTGCAAGCATTTCCTTGATATTGCTTATTGTTTTGAGCTGATCTTCAATACACATTTGTGTATAATAGAAATTTATATGCATATTCCTGTGTATATCGCCATTGGCATCCACAAGCTGAGTGGAGTAAATTTGCGTTTAAATATCCGTACACAAAATCTCCGGATGCTATTGATATGTAACAGAAAATCTCACATTGGCTCTTCAGCGAAAATAGTGAACGCTAGTTCCTTAAAACACAGATATGGTGAAATAGTGGTGAGCATCCTGCCGCTGCCAAAAAAGGTCTTCCTGAAGAGAGTCCAAGAGCCAGTGAAAGTGAATTCGCTGAAATGTTCTGTCTAGCCGTTTACCTACATGTTTTCGTTTATAGAGATACTGAAGTTAAGAATTTCATTGACTTCAGGACATTTGCCCGTCAGAGTCTCTGGAAGTCCGAATTGGGGAAAATGTTCTCAAAATATGCAAGCTGTAGTTGTTGGCTTCTAGCCTAGAAACGTTTGGATTCATGTTAAGATAGATTCTTCAAAATTTGATATCTGTCAATTTGGCTTTGAAGATGGTTTCCCCTTTTTCCCCTTTGGTTAATTACCATACGTGCATTTATTGATAAGTGCGCCCTATCAGATTAAAGTGTCATTAGCGGATATGCTCTTTCTTGGAAAAAAAGTTTTTATGTAACTTGTTCCACTTGAGTTTCTTCAAGCAGATTGACAACCGGTGCAGTAAAATAATTTTACTGCAAAAGGACTATTTCACAACTACCTATACTTATAAGCCCGCCATGAACTTAAATTTTAGTTGAAAAGAAGAGAAGGCTTAAAAGCCTAATGTACTGTAGAACTCTCAGAGCTGGTAAATAAGACACGAAAATAAACCCGCGTTTATTGCGATATTAATAAGCTGGGTTGTTGTATTTCATATTTGTTTGTTTACTCTATTTGAACTAAGATAAACTATAAATGGTTCGAGTTAACTCGTTTGTTAGTTTTTCATCTTGACGTTGTCAGGGCCACAAATTGCTTTTTATTTACCTGTGTTCGCTTATCTATTCAAACCGGAAAATAATGTAATTTAATCCAAGAATCATGAATTTTTGGTGGAAGCCTAATTGAAACATGAAGTTTTACGTCATGCCTTTATCTAAAGTTGTCCTTGCACGATTATTCTCACATACATACATAATACGCGTCTGAATGTATTTCATTTTGGATTCCTAATTTATTCAGCAACGGAAAAGACGAAAAGGCGATCAGCTAATAAACCTAAAGGAAACAAAGACCTGGATCGTTATAATCGCTGAATTCTGGCAAAGAAGGTATATTGAACTGCTGGCTATGGCAATTGCCTTTTATTTTATAAGAAAAGTTCGAGCACGAGACAACCGTCGACGAAGCGTGTCATTATAAAAACGCGAAAGAACATTAAAATGTGGCGGAAAGTTTCGGCAACCGTTACTTCATTAGTGCCTGGATGATTCTAATCGTTCTTGCACCCTGGGGGACTTGGGCTTGTTTTCTTGTTTCTCTCAGTGACGTCTCTGGAGGGGATTAAGAACTTTTTGACCTCTTTTAACCGATAAATTTCAGAATTTAAAAGATGGCGATGATTTAAACATTTTACCCTATTGCGCTCTTTTTGTTTAGAATTATACGCACATCGAGATAAATGTGTACTCATTTGCGATTATCTTAATGGATAGATAGAATAAAATCGAAGACGGAACTTAATTCTATGTAAATAAAAAAATATGATATTTCTGGTCAAATAAATCACATTAAAGTAACGCATGGCAGAACACAGAACATAATTATCTATTATCTTCACTAGCACATTTGCATGTGTATATAGATATATTCAGTGATTCAAAATTGGCGAAATTTCTGTAGGAGTGAAATTCCTCGGTAATTATCTGGTGCATAGTAGCCTGGGATTATCTGCTATACCCGTTACTCTATATCTAGAATCCGAACAACTTTTGGTCGTCCACTATCTGCCTCAACTCATGGAGCCAATCGTCTATTGTCTCTAGCCCTTCATTCAATTAAGCACCGCAGGACAGGATATAATAATTATTGCTATTATTATTTTGTGAAAGCAGCTTCAAACTAAGTCAGAATTTGACAATATTTTGTTTTTCTTGACAAAAGCTATCTACCTGTAACTTCCTGATAATGACAAAAACATTGTTGCCGCTTCGAATTTTCGTAAAAAAAATTCTGGAAGGGTACTTTTAATAGCAAAAACTTAAGAACATATTCCAATAGGATACCGATCAAACTAGGGACCATTTTAAAATTATACTTATCTTTTAAGTTTACCTTCGAATTTGACCAAAAAATTGAATATTTTTATCGTACAAGTTAGTTATTTTATTTTTATTTTCAAGTTAGCCGCTATTATCCCTTAAAATGATTGACGCCAATTCTGAATCACCTTATATGCACAAACCAAGGAAATACGTTTTACATTGAACATACTGTTTTTACATAAAAAACTGCGCAAACATGAAATTGAAAATGGAGACACATTAATGATCTTGATAAATTTGCTTATAAAACAGCCTGAATCATATGGAATTTAATCATTTCTATATATCGTAGATTAACACGCTCACACTTAAAAGCTCTTGTCACATCTACCCGAAAACATACTGTATGCTCATACTGCTTCTAAAAGAAACGTCTTTTAGTACTCATCTTAAATATTAGATGACAAAAATTTTGAACAAAGTTTAATATGTAATTATCTTTGGCATTTTTATATTACGTTATATCATGAAAACTTGCCGGCTAAGGCAAATTTAAACTTTACACAGGCTTCTTCTGTTCCCGCTCTGTTAAATGGCTAATCGCATTATAATCTTGTAAGGTGTCTACCAAGTGTTTCCAGACTCTGCCATAAACTCCAGTTTGGTGTTTGATAACTAAAAGTCTAAACTCGATTTACCCAAACATAAGCCAAGTTTTAAAGCAACGTCAATAAAAAAAATAATTTATACTTAGTTCATTTTAGGGCGAACTTCGAAAGCTTAATTAATCAGTTCAGTTTAGTTTCATATTTTGCTCTACGTTAACAAGAAAAATTATGTTTTTAAGTCAGGGCGACATATTTATTTTGTTTAGTTTTGCAATGGTTATCCTTATATGTGATTACAAATAAACGATTACTTAAACTGTCCAATATAGCGATCTCTTCCGTGAGAGAATATTGGAGAAGGACGAAAATAATTTAAGGAAACACAAACACGACAGAATCAATATATCGATTGCCTCTCTCCACAAATCAGTATTCATATTAAACGATTTCGGTTTGGGAAAAAAGGGCGCGATTATATCCTCGATATGAGACTCAAAGGTGCAAAATTATTACAAGGGCTGTATGAGCTGAGTTTAAGGGCCCATTCCCCCCTTCGAATCTGCAATATTACTGTCGGTTCAATCGTCTGTGTTAAAACCCTATTTAGAAAAAAGTTGCTTATAAAGAGCTCTTTAAAAAGCTAATATATTTTACCCAATATTGCAGCTTTTAAATTGGTAGCTACATCATTGGTCCGTTTTATTTTAACTAAATTAATTGGACACTGATTCTATTGATCAAGAATAAAGTAAATTTAAATAGCAGTTAATCCCAGATAATGAATCGGCCGATTTTATTTTCTTATAAATGCGAAGCTCTGTTAAAATGAAAGTTGACCTAACTGTTGCCAGGAGAAGTAGAACATTTTATAAATTTCCGACATCTAATTTAATTACTAAATCCCAATAAATATCCCCCGTAAGATATCTATTTCAGTTACAATTATTGTTTACTCAAAACAAAATAAACGGATGATTTGCACATGGCATAATTAATAAATGCAAAAAACTGATTTGAACCCATAATTTCCGATAAAAACAGCAATATTATTATTTGCGGAACAAATAATACAATTTCATAAATATTGGAATTTGTTCGTTTATTTTTTGGCTAATACTGTAAACAGGATTGTATAATATTTATCATGTAAAATCGATTGAACGTTGAAAACAATGTAAATTTTGATTAATTTTAGTTTAATTCCTTTTAAATAATGGCAATAAAACATTCACTTATTGCGACATACTCGGGAAAAACAACAATACCACTTATTTGAAGCTAAAAATAAAAACCAACTTTAATTTTTAATCTTGACTAAATGAATAAGCAACAGGGGCATTTAAAAGTCACTGGATGAAAATACATAAAAGTATTTCATACGTTATTATAACTTTAGGACGATACAAATATTGCCCAACACTGCTCATCTTTAAACTAACTATCAGACAGAACCGAACCATACACCTAACTTACCCCGGTTTTCTGGATGTCATCAAGACCTTCGACGGGACGAAATTTAAATATTCCTCTCATAATCTCGGAAAACAGTAATAAATAAAAAAAAATACAAAAGTGATTAAGGAGCTTGACACAAATAGAACAACGCAAATGCTAACACACTTCACTCTAACAAAACAACTAGTACAGATACAACAAAACAGCAGTACAAAAAACAATCAGGCGTTCATCGAGGTGTCTCAGGAAGTTGCTATT